TATTATTCCTCTCAGTCGATTTCAATTCAACTTCTGTAGCGTGCCTCTAATTTCTTTTTGCTGTTGATTCTTCAAACGTTATGGCTTCATCATCGATCAACAAAAATTCTTGATTTCTATTATATGGTCTCCGTACCTCCTCATCATCCATTCTCTTTGTATTCTAGTAGATTTCGTTAATTGAACGGACCCTTTTTGCTGGAGTATCATCGAATGAGGCTATCGACCCATTATCTTCATAATTTCTGGAGAATTAGCTTGGAGGTGTTGATCGAGAATTATTCTTAGTTGATGACTGCGAGTCTTAAGTGGGTGAATCATCATAAATATTGATTTGTAACATCGTCAAGGAAGTTGAGTGTGCATCATCTGTTTGTTCTTGTTATTGGGCCGGTTGACATTGGGTCATAACATTGACCATGTTGTTAGTCCAACATGGTGTAGTAAGTGGCTCGTCTGCTATCTCTTCAGTCTAGGCCCACGATTTTGACTCCTCAAACACAACATCCCTTGCTATTACAATTCTACGACTTCTGGGATTGTAAAGCTGATACCTCTTTGTTCCTTCTTCTACCCCCAAGTAAATCATCGCCTCACTTCGATTGCTTAGCTTGGTTAAACCTCGCAACTTCTTAACAATACACACATTCCCAAAAACCTTCAGGTATGCAACCGAAGACTTGGACCCCTTCCAAGCCTCATATGGAGTCGCATCCTTGAGTGCTTTTGTTCCAGTTCTGTTCAGCAAGTACACTGCATATCTTATAGCTTCACCCTAAAATTGGTTTGGTACTGACATGGCTTTCAGTAGAGACCTTTTCATCTCCAAAATTGTTCTATTTCGTCGCTCCATAAGACCATTTTGTTGAGGCATATGTGGTGTCTTCAACTGTCTTCGTATTCTGGCTTGTTCACAAAATTTCAAGAACTAAGTGGAGTTAAATTCACTCCCCCGTTCAGTTCTTAACGTCTTGATTTTATAGTTGTAACTTGAATTTTTTGAACATACTTAAAGCTTCATCTTTGGTTTTAATTAGATACACCCACATATAACGTGAATAGTCATCGACTATCAGCAAGACGTACTGATTGCCTCCCTTTGTTGCAGGTGTAACGGGACCACATAAGTTTGTGTGTAACATCTGGAGCGGTTCCTTAGCTCTCCATTAGGCCACTTTTGGGAAAATTTGTCTAGGTTGCTTAGCTACCATACATCCTTCACACACCTATGCTGGATGAGATACTAGGGGCATACCTATCACCATCCCCTTTCATGCCATATCTTCTAACATTCTGAAATTCGTGTAACCCATACGTGCATGCCATAACCATGAGTCATCATCTATGCTCATAGCCAAACATGTAGGCTTCCTTGATGTGAGTTTTATTTTATAGAGTCTATTTTTTAACTTCTGTACGTTCATGATCAAACAACCAACTTCATTATACATCTATAGGATATCTTTCTTCATTCATATATCGTATCCCTCCTCGGTCATCTTTCCTAAGCTAATTGTATTGTTGTGCAAGGCTGGAATATATTACAAATCTAGAATAACAAATTGATCACCATTTTTGAAATAAAATAGTAGTGTACCTTTCCCTTTGATAGGAACCTTAGAACCATCTCCAAATCATACCTGCCCAGTGACCTCTTCATCTAATTATGCAAATAGAGTTTTAGAGCCAGTCATGTGGTTACTAGCCCCATTGTCTTGGTACCACATGTTGTCATATTCTTTTCCTTTTAGTTGGTTCGGATACACCTTTTCCTCATTTAAGAGAACCATACTTGTATTCTCTTCTCCACATACAGTCAACAACAGTGCTTGTCCATCTTCATCTGCAGCCAAATTTACCTCCTAATCATGATGCTTCTTTGCTTTGCATTCAGAAGCAAAATGGTCGAGTTCTTGGCACTTGAAGCATCCTATGTGACTTTTGTCATGAGGTTTCCAGCTGGAATTACCTGCTTCTTGTCATGAGTTGCCACCAGAATGTCCACCTCTTCCATGAGTAGACCCCCGACCACGTGAACTGCCTCTACCACCTCTATCGCTACTTGCACCTCTCCCTCGACCCCCAGTCTTGTTTGGACTTTGATGACTTGAGGAACCTTCCAATTTTGTAAGCAACAAAGCATTATCAACACTTGAGTCTGCTTTCCGGAGTCGAAGTCGATCTTCAAAAGCCTTTAAGTGTCCAATTGCCTCCTTGAATGACATGGATTCCATGTCAGAACTTTGCTCAATTGATGCCACAAGATTTATAATTCTTTCCGAGACAGTATCAAACACCTTTCTCACCAATTCCTCATCTTCCAATATTGCCCCTTCACTCCCAAATTTTGATATCATGGCTGATATCCTCCGTGTATAATCATATATGCTCTTTGTGTCTTTCATTTGAAGTCCTTCAAATTCGCTTTTCAACACCCATAATCTTGCTTTCTGGACTCGTTCTGCACCTACATACTATAACTTTAGAGAGTCCCAAACTTCTTTAGTTGTCTTCTTTTTGGTAGCTTGTGCAAGCAATTCTTCTGGAATCGATTGAAAGATGAAGGCTCGAGCTTGCTCGCTCCTTTTCTCATCCACAACCACACCGGTTGGCGGCTCGATGGCTACCCATAACCCATGGGCATCCATAAGGGCTTCCATCTTAATCGACCATGTGTTGTAATTCGATGAGGTTAGCATCGGGCATTGAAGGGGATATGTGATGTCTTTAGGTGGGTTAGATGGTGATGCTTCTGTCATGATATAGTATTGTCATGATATAGTATTTGATAATCTTGGGCATACACGAGTGATCAGAACCTCAAAGCTCTAATACCAATCGATGGCAATCAAGCAATTCAACAAGGAAATATAACAGAGTGGATATAGCCTAATGCTTGCTTTATTCAATGATTGAAAGCTAGAAAAAATTACATTACTAAAATGACTAAAACAATGAAACTTAAATAGACTAAAATGCAATTGAAAGCAGAAAAAATAGCAACTATTCTTTTTATGGGCAAGTGTCCCACATACCCTCTTATTCTCCTGATTAATGGGTCAACTTTGACTAACACCTTGTGCCATACGTTCAGAGTTTCAAATTGCAGACTTATTCACTAAGCTTTGGGAGCAGATCGTTTTCAGTTTCCTTGCAGCAATTGGGTGTTCGTGATCTTCGCAGTCCAACTTAAGAGGGATTATTGAGATTGTTTTTGTTTCCTTATTACTAGATACCTTATTCTTATCGTTTCCTTATTATTAGATACCTTATTCTTATCGTTTCCTTGATAAACAAGGATTAGTTTTCTTATCTATTAGTCCTTATCACGTTAGTAATGCTCCGTATATAAACATATGTAATATCATTTTCTTGTTTTAAGAGAAATCAATATTTTGCTCTCAAATTTATTAAGCACATTACTTATTTTGGTATCTAGTTATGTTATGACCATGAAGTGTCGATGATTTGTAAATCAAGTATATATGGTGAATACGAAATTTGTTGTTCATATCGCCATAATTTTTAAAGTACATGCATGCAGTGTTTGCTGCTGCTATCTGACATACTTTCACATTGTGATCATTAAGTTTTAGTTGCTATTGTAAGGTTTGTAAAATTTTGTAGTACCGACGTTCCAATTTTGTAGTAAATTGCTGTATTTGCATGGTTAGTGAGTGCAGTGTAAAAGAAGAAAATGGGAGTATGATACATGTGATAGTTGGACTATATGGTCCAAATACTAACACTAATGTAAAGTCCTTTGTTTTCTATGTATTAAATGAAACTGATATTAAATGTAAAAAGAAGTTAGGTTCTGTTGACTGCACAAAATATATGGTCAGATAGTTTAAAAGGGTAAAGATTAAAGAGCCAACAACAATCCCAATTTCTCTGAGTCGTTTTATCACGAAACTCCAAAACATACACTTACACGAGAATTATACCGGAATATGAGAATAAAGAGACTTGTAATATAACGATAATCAGGGTGAAAGCATTAAACGGTGTAATTATTATTTTTTTCGGATGACAAAAATTACGTATGTAGAACTCACAAAACATAATTTACAATAGATAGTTGTAAAACGGAAATTTTTATAAAACACGGATAGAAACAAATATGTAAAAAGGGAAAATCTTTAAAATATATACATAAAAAACAAAGATACAAAAAACTAATTTTATACAAATGATTTCTTAAAAAAAATGTAAAAGTTGTACAAAAGAAAACTTTGTATAAAATGTTTGGACAAATTTGTAGTATGAAGTTATAAAAAAAATTAAGAAAATGTTTAATAAAAAATAAAAATAACTTAAATTTAAAAAAATTAAGATAAAAAGACGTAAATTCCTTTGTAAAACTTTGTAAAAAAGTAAAATTTCAAAGTACACCAAATTCAAAAATACAATATAACAATGCCCTAAAATTGTAAAGTAAATCAAATTCGTAAAAACAATTATAAGTTAGACTAAAACTGTATGGAGAAAAAAAAAAACATTGGGCTAAAAATTCTACAATTTTTGGACCAAATTTGTAAAAAGGAAATTGAAAGTTGGGTAAGTTTTATAAAAGTAAAAACTAGGATGTCAAGAGAAAAAAAGACACGGGGTAGATCGTAGATGTGAATCAAACTCTCAGAATGGGTTACGTCAGTATTTTATAGAATTTTTTCTATATGATAGATATAAAATAACAAACCATAGAGAACATAGCAAATCAAAACGACCGATAAAAAAAAAAAAAAATAAAAAAAAAAAAAATAAAAAAATTGCAAAAACTTAAAGTGGCTTTCACTAACGAAAGTAAAATATAGTGATTAAACCTCAAACTTACTATAAAGTGGTAAGAAAAATCCTAACAAATATTATTTTCCGAAATGGAAAACAACAACCAACATAACAACAAAACCAACACCATCACCTTTCACCGATCCCTCGACAACCATAAAAACCGCAAACTACATTCCTAAACACATATACAACCCACCCTACCCCCCCCCCCAATCAATCTCTTTCCGTTACACTTTCCGAATTCACATTTTGCGCAAACGTCCATAGCTTTTCAAGGTCCCGAGGCTTAGGGACTTCAAGTTTACAGGTCTCAGTGTTGCTATTGTTGATCGGTGTTGGTGCTCTTGTAGGGCTACGAATTAGGGTTGGCGATGTGGAAAACGTTGGGGTTGCAAATGGGGAGGAGTACGGCGTGTGGTTGATTGAGAACGGGCTCGGGGACATTCGCTTTTGAATTGGGCGGCCCCCAAGACCCCCTCGGTTGAATGTCGATAGAGATTTCGATGTCAGAGATTGCTTCGTTGTGTCATCTACAAAGATGACATCATCGATTCTTGCAGTTATGTTGAATGCTAAGCTTTCCATTACCCTTGAGTAGCTTTCGAGTATCGATTGCCCCACATCCTACAAAATGCAAGAAATAACAATATACTTTTAGATTAGTGTGGACATTAAAACGTTTTTTTATTAACATATAGCATTGTACATTCAATTTTTTTTTCTTTTACTTTAAAAATTCTACCTTAAATGTATTTTTGCTATTATTAGCATATATATATATACCTTGTTATATTGAATTTTGCTCATGTCTAATGAAGTTTGAGGAAGGCCAGGAAACCGAAGTCTCAAGCTATGAAGTAATGACTCGGCTCTTTGTGCTAAATAACCATTCTTATCACCATCAACAACAAATCCCTTAACTTTCCCACTCCATGATGAGTGCTTTTGTTTCAAATGACTTGAATTCTTTTTGTGACCTTTCAACTTCCATGCATAAATTGCTCCTTCAACCCGATTCACAACTTCCAAAGTGTGGTGCTCAGATGACAAATCCAAGCATTCAACAAGACATTCGGGAGAGAATTTTTCAGCAGATATGTAGCGATAGATGATGTCACCTAAACACGCTTTTCCACTCTGTAATATTATTAATTAATCATTAACCAATTGGAAATAATAAATAATACATTAGAAAATGGGAAAGTTTATTGATCATATAAAAGCATTTACCTTGGGTAAGGATTCCACGTAAGCATTTGGAATCTCCATTTCTGAGAGAACATTACTATTAATTGCTAAAGCTGCTTTTAAAATCTGGTTTGTGCAATCTCTACACTGTTGTAATCTTTTTCTAGAATCTTCAGATAATCCATTGGGAGGGACTTTTGGATAAGGTAACCACCATTTTTCTTCCTGTCTAATTGAAGGTCTTCCACCACAGATTCTAGAAGGAAATGCTTCATGATCATCACCTTCTGCTAAAACTATGCCTCGATCAACATACCAAAACTCTGTATTGTGGAACCCATCTAACATACTGATTAACATGGAGTCGAGCTTCTTTAAAGCTGGAAGATTTAAAGACAGATCTGCCCTTGGTTGTGTTGCCATTACTTCATAAGAGCCACCAGATGGAGATTGTTGTATTGAAGGAACAAAATCTACAATGGAGTCGCTTACTGATAGAAGCCATTCCATCTCCCTTTGCCACATTGCCTTCTTTTGAGGTGCCAATGGCTCCAACCTCCATAGCTCCCCAAATACAGAGGCTTCCATGATTCAATCAGAAACAGATCGTAATTAGAAAATAAGGAAAAACAGATATAATGTGATTGCAAGAAAATTAAAAACTCACTAACCAGACAGATTTGTTATGGCGTTTGAAATTGCTAGGGCTGTACAGACACCTTTTCCCCCTCCAGACATGTCTTCTCCAAGCAGCAGCTTAGCGAACTTTTCCTTCATCATATCGATTTCTACAAGGTCGTTGAAATTTGAACAGGATTATTACGATAATCTGAAGAAATTGGTGAAATGGCCTCTATGTAACATAATGTGAGCTCAAAACCGAGGTATTTTTCTTGATAATAGTCAAGACGAATGCATAGGGAGAGAGAATTAGAAACAAATATATGTGAGTTTATCCGTGCCCTAATATTGTATCTGACTATTCGAATCGATTTGTATTTAGGAGTGACATTAGGAACAGTTGTTAAAGCAATAGAACACATGAATAGAAAAAGATCAATGGAGACTAACCAGATAAATCGGCATCAGGCTGTTTCTGAGGATTCTTCTTGTCCCAAATCATAACGTCATCGCATCCGCTAATCAGCGGGAATGTGAACGGCATCGGGAAAATAGAATCATTGCGGGAAACCGAATTAGAAGCAGCGAACGACGACGATTTCAATGAACTAGAAGAAGCGCCATCGTTATAACGGCAGCCGGAGAAACCGCTCGAACTCTCAGACTCACTGATGTCAGCACTAAGACTGTAACTCTCCTCCTCACAGCATCGTCCACTACTACTAGAGATATTGTTGTGGTTGTTGTCTTCCTCCGAGGAACAAACACTCGCAGCCATCTCAACGAATCCAATTTGGAACTTTCTCGTCTCGATTTAAAGTTTTAAACCTTATCAAGTTACCCTATCAAATCTTGGCCGATGTAAACCATATTACACGTTACCTGAAATGTGATATAAATTGCTGGTGGTTGTGGCTGTAGTGGTGTTGGTGACTGACCGGCGGTAGCAGTGTCGGCGGCGGTGGTGGTGGTGGAGACCGACAAAAAGGTGAAAGGGGGCAGAAGATGATATAAAGCTGTGGAAGTAGAGTGAAGGAGTATAATGCAAACAACACACAGATACTTTTTCTCACATCACTACATATATTACCAGAGTTATTTTTATTTGTTAGCCTTCATTTATGCTTAATTCAAAAATTAGACCTTCTTGTTTCATACTTGTACAATATACATCCTCCGGTTATTACTAATTATTCTTTATTAATGTACAAATAAAATTTAGGTTATGTAATCTTATGTTTAATCATTTAACGTTAAGTTATAAATTTTCAATTATATTGATAATTTTTTTGCATAAGATAATTAAAGTTTATAAACTTATTATATTAATTAGTTAAACAAATATATTGAACGGAAAGAATTTGATTGTAATAGTATTTATATTTATATATGTTAACGATTAACTATTTAGCTATGACAAAAATTTATTTTCGGTTTTACAAATAAAGTAACCCTATCGAATTAAACTTTGTAAAGCATAAATTAGTTTAAGATAAGCATTTTGAAGGCAAAATTTTTATTATATACAATTTATTTATTGGCATTTAGATATAATAAAACGAGGGTTAAATAGAAGGTACCTACTTATGCACTTTCATTGAAGTTGGCAGAAATGGTCATATGGTGGGACCAAGTGCTTGTGGGGGTGGTAGACAATGGATTAATTATATATATTCAAGTTTTCAACCATTTTTTTTGTTGTGCTTATTAATTCTCAAACTAACATTTTTACATAAAACATCAATACATAAAATTATTGTTGGTTTATTTTACAAAAATTTATAGAAATTAGTATCATGTCGGTTTGAATTGATCCATAAGTTTTTTTTGCTATTAATAATTATAAATAATTAAAATTTAGATATTATTAATAACTATATTATTGAAGTATATAATGATGTGTAATGTTGCATTTATTTGAATATATGTTGGTCGTTCAATGAACTTTTTAACCAATTTTATAAACTGTACCAATTTGATCGGTAAATTCATATAAGATAAAATATAACAAAATATGATAAATTTTGTTAATAAATAAAAGAACATTATATATTGTAAAATTATTATGTGCTTTTTATGGCAAAGACAAATGCTCAAAACCTTTATAATTTTTATTGTTAGGTTGATCATCATTTAATGTTGTTTTTTAGAAAGATCAATGAAAATATCATGTGAAATTCATTAAAACTCATTGACGGTTTGCTACCTTTTTACATATATTAAATATATGTTGATTACCAAATTTGAAAAAAAAATTGTGGATTTTCAACTTTCATGCCGTTACGTAAATTTGCTTCCAGGAATGATGTGTCTTAAAACCCGTTACACATTTTCTTCTAGGGGCAATGCCATTTGTAAATACTAATGATGAAAATTAACATTGTTATATGTATATACAATGTTTATATATATATATATATATATATATATATATATATATATATATATATATATATATATATATATATATACACACACACAAAAGTTAATCCGAATAAATTTATAAATTTGTCACCATTAAAGTTTTCATATTTGCAAATTGCATAAAGATAAGAACTTCTTGCAAGTTCGAGCCCTAATATATATTTTTCATCTATGGATGCATAAAAGCATATAAACTTGATTAATACAATAACTATTTAGAAGGAAAAAAAATCCTTTTTATGGTAAATTTAACACAAGTTTTTAGTAGTGAAGGTTTTTGCATTGATTACATGGAAATAATATTGGTTTTTAACTAGGTTTAACTAACGAGTAGGTTAACTTTCTGTGTATGTGTTTATAGATTCCGAATATAAGTACGGAATGCGTATAGATTCATTAGATATTATGTACTTGATGTTTAAGGAATAAGAAATTATTTATAATAATAATATAGTACAAAAGAACCAACTACAAATTTTTGTGAAGCCTTGATGAGCACAAAAATGCAACATATGCAGTTTTAGTTAAAAAAATAATAAATAATATAGTAACTTTCCCATAACCATATGTAGTAACCCAAAAAACAGGGAGGCCATGGCCCCTTTGGCCCTATAAGCGTTCTTCCCATGGTTCTTAAAGTAAGAAGAATAGTCAAAATGGTGGTGAAAATTCTATTAATAATATATTTTAACATATGATAAAATAGAATCCAACATGTTAAGTTAAAATGGTTTTTAATACATCATAGTCTTCAAAGCTACATACAAATAGTTATGTTTATATATTATACAAGGTGGACTAAAACTAAAACAATAAACGAAAAAAATAGTTGCATACTTGCATCTGATTTTTTTTTATTTTTTATTTTTTTTTTTTTTTTTTTTTTTGTAATCTGAAATTCTATGCTTTTGAAAGAAACCAAACATTTTTCAAACATGTTTCCTTTCCCAACATAAAAGTAAAACTAATTAGATAAATAACAATTATTTTCTAACCGAAATTTGAACTTTGAACGACATTGACTAGAATATAAAATAACTTTTAAGTCTCGACTTCCCATTAGAATTCCATTGACTATACTTGTGATAAATAATATTTATTGAATCATAATATATTCTTTATAAAAATAATATTATGTATTTAGATTGTGACAACAACAACAATATTATCCCGATCCATTAGCTCGATCCAAGAGACCTCCGAACAAAATAAAATCAAAACCAAAATTTTAAAATAGCACTTAAAGTAATCCATGCAGAAGATTTGGTGCTATAATGTTTAAAATAATCAGTTAGATCAATGATACAAATTTAATTCTAATGATTTAAATTTAAGAGTAAACTAGTTTCTTTTTTCTATATATATTTGATTACTTGTTAAATGTTGTTAATTGTCAAAAACTCATATAAAAATACATGTTTTGACCGATTAATCAAACTCTTTAACCACATTTTTATCAAAATTATTAATTTCTATTTAACAAATAAGAATTGTTTTTAGTCAAATATATGCATTATTATTCCAAGCTCTTTTCCAATAATTAGAAATTACTTTGTTGGGTATTTAATGCATATTATACGAGTATTATTTTTCGCACACAATAATTCCGGAATTTATTTACTGATTTCCATGTATGTCAAATCAAATGGGCAAATTGTTGTGGATCACCCGTACAAAGAGGAAGCTGTGATTGTAACTTGCGCCCTAGGAAGCTATACTATGATGACGTGGTGCCCAGTTGGCACATGCAGTATATTCAATAGTCAAGGGTCAAAGTGAACTTTTGCACAATTTTGAAGTCAGCAATAGTAAAACCACATATGAAACGTTTTTCTTAATTTTAACAAGAAAACGTGTTTATTAAAATTTTACAATCCTAAACGCCTAAAATAATTCGACGAATTTTATTTAATATAATATCTTTGAACATAAATTATAAACATTACTTAATTTATATTCATTTTTTAGCTGGATAATCATAAAATGACCATCTAGAATTTAAAACTTATTTTTTTCATTTATCAAAATGATTATATGTCAAGATCGGTCATTTCAAACTAATTTTATACTGAATTTATATTATATTGAGAGTTTATTTTCTAACAAAAAAAAAAATACATTTTAGATTTCGAATTTCAAACTTAATATTGCAGACATTGAAAGTAATTATTCTGAAAGTCCGAGATTCAACAAACAAATCAGAAATATGGGAAAAAAAATCCGTTTATTAAACTAAAATTTAACAAAGAATAAAGAAACATAATTAATTAAGTTTATAAGAAACAAGAAAAAAAATATGTCATTTAATTGAGAAAATTGTAATATTAAACATTAAAAATTTGGTAGATACTTATAACTTTTATTAACTATTTAATAAAAATGAAAAAAAAAAATACATAATGATTTTTTTTTGGGGAATGTAACACAAAAAGAAGAGACTAAGTGAAAAACTCAAGTCAACAAAACAAGAGGGTTCATGGGAGACATACACCAAACATACCAATCTAAATTACATAGTTTAGATTTTTTCTTTATCCAATTAAAAATGGTAACACTAATATCATCCGCCAAAATTGTGACAGCTTGTCTTTGTTCCTAAAAATAATGTAGTTTCGCTCCTTCTAAACATACCATAACAATAAATAGAATAGAGACAAAACCCAATTTTTATGTCTTTTTTTGTAACACCTGTTTTACAAGATGGATCAGCAGTGATCTGAAGGAGTCAAATGTTTGGTTTTTGAGGAAAAATATTTGTCACAGCGTGGTGTATGGATACTTAGGACGTGGCATGACTTTTTATGATCACATTTTTTTGAGTGAGCACCATGGCAGGACATGTCGTGTGCCACAATGTTGTGGTTGTGGCAGCCCAAGCCCATTATCTTTTAGGGTTTTATCCATATTTAAAGCCTCTAACTCAAGGTTAGGGCATCCTCTTCGGCCCCCAACCATCCAAAGTGAAACCCTAGCCTCCTTGAAGCTTTTGGAGCTCATTTTTGCAAGTTTTGGTGATTTTAAAGGAAGAAGGAGAAAGTTTGGTGCATAGATCCATCAAGCAATCCATCTAGATCCTTGTGTGCATCCTCTGGACTCTTTGTAAGTCCTCAAGTACTAATATTTTTGTGTCTTGCTTCCAAATCTAGGTTTTTATGATTTGTTCTTTATGTTTAGGGTAGTTTGAGTAATTAGATTTCATAAAGTTGGCAACTTTATGGATCATTGGGGGCCTTTTGAGGTTTAGTGTGCTAGATCTGAAATTTGGATGAGTTTTGGTTCCATGCATGAGATTTTGACTTCATTTCCACCATTTTGACCTAACCAAGTTCAAGACATGCATTGGACATGCATGTCCATAAATCATGGTTTTTTATGAAGCTTATGGACATTTGGAAGTATTTTGGAAGAGATGAGTATGTGGTTTAATGGAATAAGGGCTTAATCCATTAAGTGGTTTCTGGTCAGTTCCCACGACGTGACAACCTGCTTACCACGTTGTGGCGAGTGGATTCTTCACAACTATTTTGTTGAGGGATTCCCACATCGTGGAAGGTGCACGACCACGATGTAGTGATCAGTTGTGTTGACTTTTGGTTGTTGACTTTGACCGTTGACCGTTGAATTTTTTTACCA